TTGGGGGGGGGGAGAAAGGCAGCATTGTTATTTGACATTATAGATGATATCTCTCTCCCTCTCTCTTTTTTTTCTCTCAGGGTCTAATTGTAGATACAGTGCCTTTGAAAGGTATTGCCTTGTTAGCAGAATCGTAATAGGAGAGGGTGAAGGATCATATGTGTTCAATACTCTTTTGTTGTGTTGCGAGTTGCCTGTGAGAAAGGTTGCGAGACACCGGATTGCAGGATATGCACAAACAGAATATCAGCAGAAACACGCTGAAGGTATACGGCACCTTGAATAAATGAGAAAAATGCTCTCAGTACGATGTTTATTTCTCACCAACTTTACAGTGATGTTCAAAACAAGAGTATCAACATTTGCAAATGTTTATGTGGTTCTGAGAGTTTGTTTTCAAACCAAAATTATGCCGTTTATAGTGCAGTGTCTTCGTGTTGTTTTAATAACTGAATGGCAAAATTATTTCAGATGTATATAAAAAGAACGTTTGTCAGAATGTGGATATTTATATATTGTATATAGTGCTTGTATGCAATGTTAAAAAAATTTAAATAAATAATGAGCAATAATGTACCGAAGTGTCAAGTAAAAATTATTATTATAATTACTATTATTACAATTTTTGATAAAATACAGACACGTGTAATTTTCGCAATATACCCTCAATTTTCTATATACCCACAAGTCTTGCAAAAATAATGTTTTCTTTGTTCAAGTATTATAATTGATTAAAATGTCATATTATTAATACTATAACCAACTGCTTATCAATTATGCAATGAAACGTCTTAATGGCCGTTGTCGTTTGCCATTTAAACTGCAATTTAATTTATGCCTAAACTAAATTAATCACAATAATGAATAAGGTCACCTGCGGGTGTGTTTGCTCCGTGTGGACCAGGAGGCCCTTGTGAGCTTTGTAATAAATTAAGGAAACAAAGAGGGTCGGAGAAACATCAGGCCAAACTCATTGTACTTAGACGCTTGACGATTCCTCTCATCACACAGGAGGTTACTGTCCTATTTCCCTCTTAAAACAACAAAGATGATTTAAGCTCTGTCTCAGGCTTGACACCATTACCTTCAACAGGGACAATTCTGACAGAGATATAAGGGTCATTTTACAAAATGGGTGCAATTTGTGCTCCCCATATATATGTGAAAAAAATCTTAACAATAAATACAATCTTATCTTAACAATAAATACTTGTACAGTTTATGCACACTTTTACTATGCTAATATAGGCATTTTACTAAAAACACCGATACAAATCAAGTAACGTAAATGTATTTTGTCTTTGTGGTTTTTTTCCCCCCTTAGGTCTGTCCTTGTCTTGTGTTTCTAATTTCTATTTATATATGAATTAATGTGAAATATATAGGAATAAAATGCTAGTACATTGTCTTTATTTTTCTCTGTTTGTTTAGATTTTAGTTGACAGTGTGTTATTTAAAAACTTGAAGCTGTCCGTAGGTTGTTGCCAACCTACTAACTTTTACATAATTTTCCCACTTTAAAGTAATATAAAGTAAAAGAAATGTTATAAAACCAAAATGAAAAAAAGACGCATTCATTTTTTCCAGAAGTGGAAAAAAGTCTCGTTTATCACTGTCTGCTTTGTTTAGAGTGTCAATAGAGGACGGTCTTAAAATGTCAACATTGTTACCTTGATTTTATAAAGTAAACCAGTGCTAATTGAAAAATAGATTGTTGTTGAAATATCTATAGAGCTACTGAACAGTTTCATGCCCTTTCACAGGGCTAAGAAATCTGTCAGCCCTGTTACCTAATGGAAGAATATTTACAAAATTGTACTTTAATAATCACCAAATCAGAAAATGCATCTGAAACACTGCATGAAAGTCAAAAACAATCAAACAGCCAAAATATGTTTAATGAACAACAAAACACACACAAAGATGAAGAACTCTTTCTCTTTAAGTTTTCTTTTCTCCTCTCAGTTGTCCTGTGTGATCCTGTCTTTCAGATAGATCCCTCAGTAGATAGCAGTGTCCTCTGTTCTAAATTTAGCCTTAGAAAGTCAAGCTAGAGAGTGAGACGCTCACCCACCAGGCTTTCCTATTTCTGTCCGCACATCCTCGGACAGAGTTATCATGATCAGGCTTCTTAGACTCTGTCCAGGTTCTGGGTGGTCTACTGGTTTTTCCTACTGCTGCTGGGTGTGCATGCAGCTCTCACAGGGGAAGTACAGGGGTCATGTGACAGGATATCAGACTCAGTGTTTTGTCTCTGGTGTTCTTCAGGTGGGCTGCTCCAATGGAGGTGAACGGCCTGCTGGAGTTCTATACGCTGCACCAGTCTGCCTTAGGAGAAGAGCCGGTCGTCGTCTATAACAGCTCTGAGCTTTTTGAGGATTATACAGTGCGGAACCTCGTCCCTGGATCAAGCTACCTGTTTCAGATAGCAGTGCGTTCTTGCTCACTGTTTCACCTTACACACACACACACACACACACACACACACCTAAATGAGTAAAGGAGGGCTCAGTATGCAGAATATCATATATCACTGTGACTTTCAGTTCATTTTGTCCTTAGTAAATGTATTAAAATGTGGCTTTTTAAAATAGTCATATTGAATATAGTGCAAAATGAACGTTGTGTGTCACATCAGCACACAAACCTTCATGACTCTGATTCAGATCTTACAACATAGCTTGCCTGTCAAAGTTTCATTTTAATTTGGTATTGCTTTTTTATTAATTTATTAATTGTGTTAAGAAACTTGTATTATATAAATTTTAACAGAATATAAAAATCATTTTGAACAAGTTTGTATTATTTGTATGCCAATTTAAGAAACTTCTAATCAATTAAATATTACAGAGCACCACCTTTTTTATTATAATTAGATTTTTCTTTTCTCATTACTTTTTATTTTGTTTTAATTATTATTATTATTTTATACTGTAGTTCAGTGTGGTTCTACTATATTTTTCTATATAATTATTTGTGTATTATTTATACACCAGCCCAGATGTAATCTGCTAACTTTTTTCATATTTTCTGTACTAATTTTTGGAAAAATTGTTTTTTTAATTTGGAATGCTGCACATTTTAAATTGATTTGAACATGGTAAAATGTGTTAACATCAGCATACAGACTTTAAAGTTTCTTACTGTCTGTTGCTTATATTATTTACACTGATTTGGAGCAGACAGCATATCAACTGGTCAACTTTGTAAATTTAATAATTTAAATTATTAGAGAATATAAAAATAAATTTTGATTGTTTTTATGTGATATATAATATTTATACATAATTAGCAAGACTAGACTGGATCTGCTGACTTTTTCCACATCTTTAGGGCTTAGAGTTTAAGGGAATATCTCAGAATTCCCTTGATAAAATGTGCTAAATGGAGCTGAGAGTATGCGAGAAAAAATGCACTTACAAGGAAGGAATGTGTACAACTATTGTGGAGCTGTTTTCATTTGAAATCTTTTTAAAGCATGTTTATGTTTTATGTATAACTGATGATGCCACTTAAAGTTTGTCTTTTGACCTGCAGGCTTGCACAGGAGGTGGATGCACCCTCAGTGACCCCAGCGTCGCCCACACTGAAGAGAGTTCACCAGAAGAAGTGCCTGCTCCCAACATCCTGTCACTCTCCCCATATTCCCTCAATGTGTCCTGGACCCCCCCTCGCAAGCCCAACGGTGAGTGGGGTTAAAACTAGTGCCCGGCAAAGGTGAATTCATATTCCAAATGGTCGTTTAGTTAAGGGTGCTTCATGTTTAATGATGGGTTAGCACAGAGAAGGGGACAGGAAAAGAAGAGCACTTTGTGTGGCAGTGCGACTGGAAGTGCGCGAGAGAGAGCGAGACCGAGGAAAAGAGGGTGCTGCGTTTTAAGTGGATGAAAAGTGCTCCCTTTTGACTGATGCTGTGAACTGCAGCTTTAGCGCAGCAGCAGGTTCATTCACTCAGCCTGAGCACCGGATGGGGGACACCACTGCGCCCCCTGCATTTGAGAGCAGATGCGGATTAGGAGAAGTGCTTCTGGAATTCAATCCTACACTTTTTGCATTTTGGTGAATGTTAATTCCCATGAAATTAACATCTATTGTATTTATATCTATTATGTATGTATTAATAAGTATTTATATAAATTATATTGTTTTATATAAAGAAAAAAATTAGTTTACATGGTACAGAAAATATTAAATAAATTATTTGCTATTTTTTGTTTATTCAAAAATGGTCGTTTAGTGAACTAAATATTTTATTTAAATACATATATATATATATATTATTATATATTATACATGTATATATA